CAGATCTGTATATGCTAATTTTCTTTTTTTTTTTTTAAAGATTTTATTTATTTATTTGACAGAGAAAGAGACAGCGAGAGAGGGAACACAAGCAGAGCAAGTGGGAGAGGGAGAAGCAGGCTTCCCGCGGAGCAGGGAGCCCAATGCGGGGCTCGATCCCAGGACCCTGGGATCATGACCTGAGCCGAAGGCAGATGCTTAACGACTGAGTCACCCAGGCGCCCCTGTATATGCTAATTTTCTGTCCGTAATCTCTACTTGGATGCCTCAAAGGACTCTCAGAGTTAACAAGTCCAGACCTCAGTTCCTGCCATTTCCCCTCACCACCTGGGGTTCCTCCCGTGTCCCCTGTCCTAATGTGTAATGCTGTTATCCCCCTGGTTTTCAAGGCAGAATTTTGGGAGTCATCCTTGATACCATTTCTTCTTTTACTATTCGCTTAAGCAGTCCTGTTTATGTTATGTCTTCAGTATTCTGTCGAATCCACCCACCTCTCTCCAGCCACACCAGCTCTGCCCTCGTCCAAGCTACTATGAGGGTTTGCTCGGATGAGGGTGATAGCTTTGCAAGTGATCCCTGCCCACCACCTCCCTCCCATTCCACCCTACCGTACTACTTTCTGACTCATTTTCATCTTAAGAGTCAGCATGCTATTTCAAAGCATTTAAGACTATAATTTGAGTATTCTCTTGCTGAATGCATCCAAGGCCCTACATAATTGGGGCTCTTTCTGCTTTATCAACCTCAGCCCCTCCTCTCACTCTGTGCTCTAGGCACACTGATCTTTCAGTTTCAGAATCTGCCATGCTCCTTCTTACTTCTCAGTGCCAGGAGCACTTGCTTTCTTACTCTACTTGCCTTCCTTACCTCTCTTTATCCCAACTTTTGTCTAATTATCTCTTTCTTTTCTTACAAGTCAGTTGTCACTTCTCACTGATCCCCTCTCAGAAGAGATCACGTCACCTGTTAGATGTTCTTATACCATCTGTGCTTCTCATCCTTAGCTTTTATCACAGTTTTAATACTGCTAGCCCTGCTCATTGCTAAGTCTCCAGCACCTGGCTCAGTGCCTTGAATGTCATTCAATATTTGTTGAATGTTTGAATGTATAGAAGCAAGAGGAGTCCCTCAAAGGTAGGGGCACAATGTTTGACTTTTCTCCAGTTTCCCAGAATACTTCGTGTGATGCTTAATAAATAGTTGTGAATGAAATTAAAATTATATTATCAGAATTAGATCTTCATTGGGCTACTAAGAGAAAGATTAGAAGGGACTAGATTAGGATAGACTGACAAGAAAGAAAGCCCTATTTCCATTTGCTTATAGACATTTGCCACTTTCCAATGCTGCTTCCCCCCTCCAAGAAAACAGCGTATACTTTAATCAAAATATATTTGACTAATGAAATATGGCCTCAATGGATTGTTTGTTATGGTTACTGACAGCACTATATCCAGCAAATAGATATTTCTTTGATAAGCACATCTTTTCTTTGCAGTGTTATATAGCTCTTTTTTAAAAAAATATTTTCTTTATTTATTCGAGAGAGAGAACACCCAAGCAGCGGGGAGGAGCAGAGGGTGGGAGAAGCAGACTCCTCACCTAACAGGGAGCCCAACGTGGTGCTCAATCCCAGGACTCCGGGATCATGACCTGAGCTGAAGGCAGACGCTTAACTAACTGAGCCACCCAGGGGCCCTCTATAGCTCTTTATTTACATTCTAGGCCTAAATTGTGAGAGTACATGATTCTAATTTATGATATGTAAAAATGACTTGGCAGAGTAGCCCAATTAGAAGTTGAGTTTCAAAACCACTGTCGTGAAATGTATTTCTTTGTTTGGTGTTGTCATGATTTTGCATGGAAGGATACTTGATCACACATCTACAATAGTGATACGAGAGTTACTCTTGGCATTGGTATTTCCTTTATGGAAAGAGATCTTTGGGGTATTGTTATGTGTACCTCCTCATGAACCTTGCTAATCACTGAAACACAGATTTAAAGAAGAGTAAAACACATCCATCTTAGTCCTGTTCCTGTCTCCACTTTATTTTCCCATTTTTCCTCTCAGATTCTGACTTTCAGGGTTCTCAGCTAGTTTTCCCCACCCTTTATTTTAGTGTAGAGCATGGCAGCCAGTGATAGGGGGAAAAAAAAGAGGTATAGTGAATTGTTAAAGGTATCTGAGTTGGCATGTTCCAATTATTCATATTTAACTCAGTTTTACAGTCATATAAATATTATCATTTCATAGTGAAAAGAGCTGTTAACCATTATTGTTAGTCACTAAAAGTTCTCACAAGTATGGCCCTCAAAACCCCAGATATTTCATATGTCCCAAGTCTTCAATGTTTTAATTTTTAGATTCCTATTTAGTTTCAAAGCAATCAATGATATTCTCTCTAAAAATATACAAAGATACTTTGTAATGTTAGGGCTCCTTTACCTTTAGCCAGCACCATTTGTGGTAAATATATTTACCAGTTTAATTTAGTTAAGTTTAGTTTCCAAATGTGTGAATCCAAAATATTTGTTCTTTTGGAATACGCCAGTGATTTATTTAATGTTTCTCTATGTCGTGTATTGTAAAGAGAAATATCTTCCTGATGTATACAATGTGGGCTTACTGGAGACAGAGCAGTTGCCCTCTAGGCAAGGACTGTATTATGCTGTTTTACAAAACGCTCTCTTGTACTACTCACACTGACTACAGGATGAATTTAAACAGAGAAGTGTCTAGGACATTTTCCTTCCTCGAGTGGGAATAGTTTTTTAAATTTGGAGATGTACCATGTACTCATTTATCAAATGTCTCATTTCATTTTTGAGGAGTTCAGGTTGGAATGCCAGCCATACAATAGAATGTAAGGGGCAAACCGACATTAAGGCATGCACTTAAGCAATAGAGGAATTTCCTTTTCAGTGTCTCCCAAGGTCCATGAGGATGCACACTTATTTACCCAGAGAGTATGGATCTCACTATGTTTGTCCAGAGGGTGTGACTCTGTGGAGGAGAACACTTACTGGTAAGTGTCAAACTCTTATTGTATTATATTTCAGAAAAATATGTTTAGAAATCGATTTTTAGCAGTGATAAAATCTCTTAGTCTGTGCTGGTTTCTTAACAGTGGACAGTCCCAGATGTTGAAGTCAGCACAACAAGAGAAAAACCCAAATCCTGATAAGACTTGAGGATTTTTCGAAAATTAAATGCAAAATAGTTGGGGCAAATGTTGCTGCGGGAGTCAAGACTAAGTAATGCAGTAAGAAGATCTGAAGTTGGAGAGCTTCTCATGTTCTTCTTTTGCATAAAGTTTGCATACGTACAAAACCCGAGACTCTAATGGCTTTCAGAGGGGGCAGAATTACATCTCTTGGAACTTAAAACCGCAGACTCCGTGACCCGGAATGTACACTGTGGCCCTCACAATATAGTTTAATATTTCCCTGCAAAGTACTTTCTGTTTCTAAATAAAGGCTGTGTGTTCTGAGACCTGTAAACGATGTATACTGGCCACATCAAATTTTTTAAGAGTGTTTTCCAAATCTGGAATGGTTAGTGTGGAACAGATGTTTGTTTTGGAAACAATAAAGCAGGGAGATATGATTGTGCCATATGATTTCAGAGACCAGTCGCTGCTTTTGCTTTACGCCTATCATTCCTTCTCTTTTTCTTTCAGCCAACAACTCTTGAGATATGTAATTGGCTATTGGTTGAAAAACCTTGTAAAATAATATTTGTGTGTGTGATACGAAAGTCTGAATGTGTGGTAGGTTTCCTGGGAAGTAACCATGCCGATTAAACATTTGCCACAGCAAAGCCACTGCCAGATCTCCCGCACTACCCCCTGAAGGCTTGGGATTGATTTAAGCCAGGCCTTAATAAACAACGAATGGAAGTGCAGAATCCACGAGGAAGAATTTCAGTACTTAGCTTTGGCATCAGGCAGACAAAGGTTAAGTCTTAAGAGTTGCCAATCGCTAGCTCGCTGGCCTTCAGCAGAACATTGACAGCTCCGAGTCTGCTTCTTCTGCTATAAAATGACTTGTCATGTCCCGGAATGATGACTGGCTGTGGTCCTACCATATGCATCAAGAAGTCTGAGTACTTGGTGTGCATCCTGGTTTGCAGAGATGCACTGGGGGAGAAGACAGCAGGGATGTGGAGAACGTATGTGAAGGGAGAGAGCGTCAAGAGTAGAAGGTTTAGGTCAAAGGGTAAGAGTCATCTGGCAGTTACTGAATGCCTGTTGTGTGCGAGGAGGTGGGGTGCAGCTATGAGCACAACAGCCAGAAACTCTTGCAGTCCTGAAGCTCGTGGTTAGGGGTGGGAGATGGACCATAAGCATGTGAGCATGTCGGATGGTGGAGATAATACATCTGTAATATAAAGGAGGTGGTGAGAGCTGGAGTGGGGGAGTGGCTTTCATTATAAAATCAGGTCTTCGGGGAGGAGCTCCTTGGAAAGGTGATACTTGAATAAAGGCTTGGGAGAGATCAGGGAGCCAGTCATGTGGAAATCTGGGAAAAGTGGGAAGTGGGAACAGATGTGGGAAGTCATTGCATAGACTGACTTTTATTTTGAGTATGATGGAAAGCCCTTGGAGAGTGTTGAGCTGAAAAGTGCCATGATCCGACTTATTTTTTATAAGAATCTCTCTGGCTACTGTATAGAGACTAGACAGTAGAGGGGGGCAGTAATGGCAGCAGGGACTAGTTAACAGGTTACTGGGATAATTCAGGCTGAAGGTGATGGTGGCTTGGATCAGGGTGGTAGTGGTGGAGATGGCAAGTGGTCAGATTCTGGATCAGGATTGGCCGGCTATCCGTGGTGAGTGAGGGACTGAGAGGAGCTAAGGACTGGCCTCAGAGTTTTTAGATTGGCGACCAGAAGGTCAGGGTTGTCATTCACTGTTTACCAAGGTGAAGATTGGAGGAGAAGCAGTTTTTTGGGGAAAGATCAGTTCAGGTGTGGACAAGATAAGATTCCTATTAGCCTCGTGTAGAGGAGACCGGTGGATAGCTAGTGGTCATTTAAATGCCCAGTTTACACTAGTTGCTAAGTCATGAAAACTCTGCTTAAATGATTTAAATCTCTGAGCAGATGGTACTACAATTCATATTTTATAGATTAGGAAATAATACAGAGAGATTAATTTTCTTTTTTTTTTTTTTTTAAAGATTTTATTTATTTATTTGACAGAGACAGAGATAGCGAGAGCAGGAACACAAGCAGCGGGAGGGGGAGAGGGAGAAGCAGGCTTCCCCCCGAGGAGGGAGCCCGATGCGGGACTCGATCCCAGAACCCTGGGATCATGACCTGAGCCGAAGGCGGACGCTTAATGACTGAGCCACCCAGGTGCCCGAGATTAATTTTCTTAAGGTCACAGATATGAAACTTTGTTTTATGGCCGCAAGTTCCACGTTGTTCTACCAACTTTATTATGTTAGTTATAAAATAGGCATTCAAGGGCAATTCCTATAATTGACATAACTGATTAAGCAAAGGAATACTTTTAGCTACCTTTACGTTAAACACACACACACACACACACACACACACATTTTCTCTTCTAGAGAAGTAATATCTTTGATGAGGTTTATATGAAAGTTTTTTTTTTTTTTTACTTTTTGATGTGTTGAAAACTAATATCTTATGTAGTTTTTAACTTTGAATATATGTTAAATTTTTTTAAATGGTGAATGGAGATGGCTATGAATATAATTAATTTTTAGAAACATTCTTATATTTAAAAAACTTCTTTTAAGAACAGTTTACTGCATGGTAAATTTATGTACTCGTCAGTGGTTTCAAGGGGAAAATACATTTGTACAATCTTAAGTGTATTCCTTTTTTATAGTAAAATGCATAATGTTTATTTTTTGAAGCAGAAATACAAGTAACGAAAACACATGTGATTGTCTGACCTTTGATATTATTGTTCTAGGTCTGATGGCAAACTGTACAATACAAATAGCAAAATTAGAAATTGAGAGCTATCAAAAATCCCTGTTCTATTATTTAGAGGTTTATCTATATTTATAATTTGCATTTTAAAAAGCAGTGGAATCTTATTTTGTAAATGCCTAAGACATTTAAATTTTTTGTGGTGTAATGAGTTAAACAAGAAGGAGCAGATTAATAGAGTTTTCTTAATGTAATAAAGAGGAAGTACATACCCTTAAAGGTCATATAGAGTTATTTTGTGGAATATAACTATGTTTGGTTTCTCTGACCTTGGATTTTTAAAACTTAGAGTTTCTGATCTCTCATCTCTGTAATAGCAAACTCTTTCTGATTACGCAGGAAGTCCTGCATGTTGCAGGAGTGGAAATGCAGTTAACAGCTGCGGTGTCATTCTTGACCATTCTACAGGAAGAATCGGTGTCAATTCATACGTATGCCCACTCCTTCCTCCAGGTCATTCTGCTACATCTCGAGCACCGGGATGCAGGTTAGCAGCCTGGAATGCTTCATTCTGTACCTGTTTATTGTGTCTTGGATGTGGCCATGATGTTTTTGGAATCTTGTTAGCCTGACGAGGATAACTGGTCATTAGTGTGACTGAAAACAGCCATGGCTCTTTCCTTACAAAACCCTCCAAGTTCAGTGTCCTTGAAAGCTGAAGACCCATTAATTCATCTTATGATCTATACTTTCTTCTTAGAATTTTTGAATTTTACAATATTTATGTGTATAGTATTATCATACAGCAAAAAAATACACAATTTGGCTGAAAGATATCCCCCCCATATTATTTTTAAAGATATAAATGTTTTCTAGATGTTGGCCAAGGCAAAAAAAAAAAAAAAATAGAGGAACTTCTTCAAATAGTAATAAAAATAATCATCCCATTTTATCATTAAATATTGTTGTAACTTAATGGCTGAGTTGAAACTAAATCTGTGAGACATTTAATTTGGTGTGTTTTTTCTCTGTTAATCAGGTGTCAGCAATGCCTGGCTGGAGACTCTTCTGTCTGTGATAGAAGTATTGCCCAAAGAAACCCTAAGACATGAGGTAATACTTTTTTTTTTTGTAAATACTATTAAGTAAGTCATTCTAAGGTTTTCTGTTTTTGTTTTTGATAAAAAGTGGTATTTAAAAAGAAAAATAAGGTTATTTCCCACTCTGAAAGCAACACATGTTCATTATGGAAAATATGAGTGATACAGAAAATAGTAGGAAGAAAAGTCATGGTTCTGGATGTAGCCAAAATCTGAAAAATCATTTCAGATTTTTCCCTATACATGTTTTTTGTTTTTTTAGTAATCACGGTGAATTTCTATATGGTTATTTTTCACTTAGCATTATTTTCTTATGTTATTTTAAACTCATTGGTAGTAGGTACAAAATATTTTACTTGTTAAACATTTAAGCCTGCTTTCAGTATTCTATTATTAAAAGAAGGCATTAATAAGCACCTCTGTAGAGCTTTTTAAGTTTCAGAAAATTTTCTTAACTGTAGCTTCCAAAAAAGTGGAATTAGGTCAGAGGGCATTCGTATTCTTAAGACTCTTACTAGCAATATGTGGAAATGCCTGTTTCCCTGGACTTTACTCAGCATTAGCATTCCAATTTTATTTATTTATTTATTTATTTCTAAGGATTTTTTTATTCATTTGAGAGAGAGTGAGAACATGAGCAAGGGGGAGGGTAAAAGGAGGGTCAGAGGGAGAGGGTTTGAGGGAGAGAGAGAAGCAGGCTCCCCACTGAGTAGGGAGCCCAACACAGGGCTCCATTCCACACCCCTGGGATCATGACCTGAGCCAAAGGCAGACGCTTAACTGACTGAGCCACCCAGGCGCCCCTATAGTGTTCCAATTTAGTTTGATGGGCCAAAAAATGGAATTATATTTTAATTGGAATTTTTTTTATTATTATGCTGTTGAACATTTTTTTCATATATTTATATCAATTCTGTTCTTTTGGAATTGTCTGATCATATCCTTTGGTCACTGTTTATAGGTGCTGTTTATCAAGGTTGCGAATCTTTTGTTATGTTTGTTGCAGATAATTTTACTAATTTCTTGTTTGCTTTTTTTTTTTTTTTAAGATTTTATTTATTTGACAGAGAGAGAGATAGCGAGAGCAGGAACACAAGTGGGAGGAGTGGGAGAGGGAGAAGCAGGCTTCCCGCGGAGCGGGGAGCCCGATGCGGAGCTCGATCCCAGGACCCTGGGATCATGAACTGAGCCGAAGGCAGACACTTAACGACTGAGCCACCCAGGCGCCCCTGCTTTTAAGTTTTTAACACTGTTCAATATACCCATCTCTAAAAATTTTAGTAAATTAAAATGAGAGAATGAGAAAATTAGAAAGGAAATTTATTCTCTAATGAAATGATTTTCATTCTTTGAACAACATCCCTATATTCTTTTCAAATATGTCATGGTTTAAAAAGTAGTTACCTGTCAATGAAATTCCTCTGTATATTTCATGAAGTGTTTTTGTCCTTCTTTGCCCTCATACAGTTTGTGGTCCTATCTCAATGTCAAAATACGTGGTTGAAGATGGGAAGATTTACTCAGTTATGAGGATGTTTGTAAACTTAATGCCGAACATCTAGATGATTACATATATTTAAACATTGAACTTAACATTCACGTCTGTTATTGATACTTTTTGAAGAGTGCTATATAGTGGAATGCAGTTTTTACTCTAGAATGCCATGTATTATTTTATGTGATTTTTAAGATTTTAAATACACAGTTTATTTTATTTTACATCTTCGAGTTTCATATGGTATTTATCATTATGAATTCAGCATTTCTGGCTACTTTGTTGAGAGGAAAAAACCAGTTGACTTTTTGTTAGAGCTGTGGAGTTTTAGAACTTGGAGGATTCTTAGTATGACATATTCTGATATCCATCTTAAGTAGATGAGCCACCTTGGGACTAGAAATAGCAAGATTACTTGGACAAATTAAAGAGCGGGGGCCAGAATCAGGATCTGATCTTCATAGTTCTTTACAGTCTGTCATGCTGTTGTGTTTTTGAGCGCCCAGCATGTACATAATACAATATCAGAATTGCATTCAAATTACAGAATTACTTAATAGAATCTATTTGAAGCTATATTGTTTTGCATCCCTTTAGGATAAATATGAAAATTTTATATGGAATAAAAATAAATTTCAGACTATGTGGTAATCTGCTTTTTTTTCTTTTGAAAATGTACATTTCACAATGATACTTTATGTGCATACGGATCACTGCAGAATTCACCATAAGCTTTAATTCAGTTTTTATGTGCCTGATTGGTTTTTAATTATGTAATTTATCATCATGTTTACCTTAGTAAGCCAGAAGGCAAACAAGGTGATTCAGGTTATGAGCCCCTCACATTATAATTCAGATTCCTTAAAAACACTTGGGACCCTAAAATATTCCTTGAGGAAAATAGCTGACATTAGTGGCAAGAATATATAACACTTTGTGAATTTGTTCTCTAAATCTTTTCTCTTTAGATTTTGAACCCACTTGTTTCCAAGGCACAACTTTCCCAAACAGTCCAGTCTCGTTTAGTTAGTTGTAAAATTTTAGGAAAATTGACCAACAAATTTGATGCCCATACGTGAGTATTTATATATAATTTTTGTCTACTTTATTCATTTGAATTGATTTAAAATGTATGATGGTCATATGATTAACAATTATATTAGACTTATTCCATACTGCATACAAGCTTAGCTGTTTTAACTTTATAGAATTCTTGGAAGTCTACTTATTCAGATGCATTTCTTCTCATCTCATGGCATTTCAAAATCAATATGATTAACTTTTTTTCTATTTCTCATCTTAGTCTTCTCTGTCACACACCTAGTGTAGTTTTGAGTATAAAATGTATTATTCTATAGACTTCAAAAACTGTCAAACCTGACCTAAAGATAGACTTTCTGATTTCTTCCATTATTGTTATGAATTCATTATTTTGAATAATTTATCTTATTTTGGGGTTTTATGGAGAATGTTTATAATTTGTATGCTACTCTCTGCCCAGATGATAAATACCAAGTGGAAAGAATGAAATGTTTTATAATATGACACAAGAGTAAAATATAAAATAAAAGAATATTTTGGTCGATGGTTGTTAAACATTCCATTTGCCTGTAGCCTTTCATCTTAGCTAAGATGTTTAACTGTCAATCCAAAATTAACCATTACTTTAAAAAGATCCAGGCATATATATAATTTACAAATAACAAAAGATAACATCCAAATGTAATGATATATGTGAAAATACCACATAAACTATAAAGCTTTCTATTAAAGTATGTTTGTTATTAAGCTAAGATTTTGATAATAACTTTGAAAATTTTAATTATTCTAAAACACCCATTTGCATGTTCCTTTCCTTCCCTTCTAAGCATTAAAAGAGAAGTACTTCCTCTGGTAAAATCACTCTGTCAAGATGTAGAATATGAAGTTCGGTCTTGCATGTGTCGGCAATTAGAAAACATAGCTCAGGGCATTGGGTAAGTATACTTTCAATTCCTTATGTCATATTCTTAGTTCTGGATTGTCAGATATTCATATCCTGTTCCTGTGTTCCATGAAAGCATGGTGTTGAAAGGCTAAGCTTTATATGATCTTTAAAAATGATTGTAACAACAAGTACCTCCTGATGTGTCTGGATTAAGAGACATTAAAGTGAAGATGCTTAGCATTCATCTCATGCTAATTTCTTTCTTACCTTCAGTTGCTTGTTAGCATCCCAGATTCAGGAAGGGAAAATGTCCCGATAGAAACCATGCTTGGACTATTGCAATAGCATTTCTTTGGACTAGCAGCCTACTATTGGGTCATCTCAGATGGGATTACTCAGTTGAAGTCTTTGTTTCCTTTTTACACTCTACATTTCCACTGTCTGCTTTGTTGCTCTCCTTGCCTTTTGGATGTGTGAAGCTTGGGAAGGAGACACATAAGGCAGTTAGTCTCTTCTCCATAAAAACTGATCTCATGTCAAGGTATATTAAAGGAAGTTTTATCTAAGAACCATCTTGGGAAACAGTTTTTTTTTTTTTTAAGGATCCTAAATAGATACAAAAAAACATTGGGACCTCTCATTTTTAGTAGAAGTTGCACTGTTTTCATCTGGTTCTTTGTTTCACAAGCAAGGACAATCAGGTTGTTGCTATTTGCGCAATTGTTTTTTTTTTTATTTTTTTTTATTATTTTTTTTTATTCTTATGTTAATCCCCATACATTACATCATTAGTTCTAGATGAAGTGTTCCATGATTCATTGTTCGTGCACAACACCCAGTGCTCC